TCAGGGAGGAGTGACAGGGAATGGCAAAGGACACACTGACAAAGGAGATTAAACAGAACTGGCTTTGACAAGCACTGTGGCAACTGGACAATTAAAACAGACATTCGGAGGGCGGGGGAAGAAGAACAAACTGGGGAAGAGGGTAGAGAGAATGGTACAGCAATGAAGGAATGAAAACCCCAAATCCTTGTAAATGTTCATTAATACTAATAAAATTTAATTAAAACAAAAAAAAAAAACTATGTTGCTTCTTGGGTTTGCATATATACATTCTACTATGCTCAGGAAATTCCCGTCTATTCCTATTTTGTTGAATGTTTTACTCAAGAAAGGGTGCTGGATTTTGTCAAAGGCATTTTCTGCACCAATCAATAGGATCAGGTGGTTCTTGTTCTTTGCTTTTGTAAATGTGATGAATTACACTGTTTTTCTTGTGTTGAAGTACTTTGCTTATTTGTGGTCTCTTTCCTCTCCAAATAAACTAAACAATTTCCCTTTCAATCTCTTGGAAAAATGAATTTGGCATCTGGATTGAGATTGCATTGAGCATGTACACTGCTTTTGGTAGAACTGTCATAATCACAATATTATCTTCCTATCCATGAGCAGGGAACATATGTCCATTTATTTAGGTCTTTTATTGTTTCTCGCAGAAATGTTCCGTAGGGGTTTTTCTTGTACTTTTCTTTAAAGTCTTTAGTTAGGTTCACTCCCAAGTATCACAATCTGTGGTTGGTTACTGTAAATGGATTTGCTTTCTTCGTTTCCTTCTCTGAGTTCTCTCTGTTATTGTAAAGGAATCCCACTGATTTTTGGATACTGATCTTAGTATCCTGCCAACAGTTACTTTGCTGAGTCCTTATGGTTTTCTGTGTACACTTTTTCTATCGTCTGCAGATAGCAACAGTTTAAGCATCTCTTTGCTGATTTCCTTCTCTTGTCCTACTGCCCTAGGAAGTACTTCCAATACAATACTGAATAGAAGTGGCAACAGTGGACATCCTGGTCTAGTCCCTGTTTGCAAAGAAAATGCTTTTAGTCTTTCTCCACTGAGAATGTAATTGGCTCTTGGTTTTACATATATACTTTTCACTATATAGAGGAAATTCCTTTCTATTCCAATTTTGCTCAGTGTTTAAATCAGGAACTGGGTATTGGAGCAAGGCTGTTTCATCTGCAGGCTGTTGACTAGTTTTTCTCACATCTTAATGCCATATTCTTCTTCATAAAGTCCAAATTCTCAATAATTAGCTCAGCATACAGATAGAATACAAATGAATAAAGTATACAACCCTGTTTCCACTACTAAAAATATACACAAAAAATCTGGGCTGACATGCAAATAGGTATGTATACACTTATGCTTGTTGTTTTTAGGTGCTGTCAAATATGACCCATAGTAACCTCATGAACAACAGATCTGAACGCTGTCCTGTCTTTTGCCATTATCACAATTTCAAAAATATTGAGCACACTGGAGTAGTCACTATATCAACCCATCTGGTTGAGAGTCTTCCTCTCTATTGCTGATGCTCTTCAAGGAACAGAGTCTCTTAGCAACATGCCCAAGGTATATAAGATGAAGTTGTATCATCTTTTGACTCCAAGAAGCACTCTGGTTGCACTTTCTCCAAGACATATTTGTTTCCTCATTTGGCAGTCCATGGGATATTTAGCACTCTTCTCCAACACCACAGTTCAAAGACATTAGTTCATTTTCCATCATCTTTATTAACTGTCCATCTCTCAGATGCATAGCAAGTGACTGAAAAGGCATGGCCCTAATCATGTCAACAATTTCATCTTACTTGGATCTACAATCAATATACCAGCAGTCAGATCAGTAGATGTATAATACTGGGAAAGCCTTTCATATACTGAAGTCAGGGACCTCTCCAAATTATTAAGCACAATGATTATTGAGCACACGTGATTCAGGCTATGGACACTTCTGCTTAATACAGTATTATTCACAAAATCAAGAAGATGAAAACAGTCCCAACGCCTATCAATAAATTAACTGACTGAGAAATTATGGTATATTTATGCAATGGAATACTACACAGCACTGATGTCAATGAAGAATCTGTAAAACATTGGTGATTCTAGAGAACATTATGCTAAGTAAAATAAAACTCTCTATTACAAAAGTAGAAATATTACATAAAACCACTACATGGAAATAGGAGCATAATAGGAGAGAGAGGTGGAAAGAATGGAGAATGGGGAGAGCATAAATACAATGTTCAGACAATGAACATTGTAAAGGATCAGGAGATCAAGAGGAGGGAGGATCAACCTAGGAAGAAACAACACAAATACAATATAATGCAATTAATAATTTGGGACAGGATATGTATTACTTTTTAAAATTTTAGTGGGAAAGAGAGAATGGAAGAGAAGGAAGAGGAGGAAAAAAATCACTAAGGCAGCACAGATTAAAGAATGGATAGGGAGTCAAGGAATGGCAAACTGCAATCAGGATTTGATGAGATGTGGGACAAAAAGGCACTGATCAATAGTAATTATTTAAAACACAACTTATACAGATGATTGTATGAAAACCAATAAAAAACAAAACAACTCCCTACCAGATTTAAATCCTAATTAAGATTTTCAATGATCTGATACAAAACCGATCCCCTATAACTGCTTTTCTTTCCCATTACATCTCAACCCAAAAACTGCTGTAACCACTTATTCACACTGTTGGAGTTCAAATTCAAGAGTCCCTAAGCATTAAGTGTTTAAAGAAGAACAACAAAAAAAAAAACCAAAATAAAAAACCAAGGTGAAAGACATCAACTTACTTAAGCTTTGGAGGAACTCACACGTAAATGAGAAATTAACAGCAGTCTAACCAGAAGTGGAGGTCTGGATCCATCCTTCGTCCTCCCAATAAGGAGGGAGGTCATATAGGAGTAAAGTACATGTTTTCAGGTTCATAGGTTGAGCTGAGTATGACTCATAGTGACCCTATGAACAACAGATCTGAACCTTGTCCTATTATGTGCCATCATCACTATCTCTGATATACTTGAGTCCTCTGTTTTAGGTGTTAGCCTAAAAGTTGGTTTCTTTTTTTAGCCATTAGTTAGCCCTCTCTTGTTTCCAGTCACCTTAAATGCAGGCACTTGGGCTTGCAAATCACCAACAGCTGTAAGACCAGAATAAGAAAGAGTGCTTCTCACCCTGGGGAGCAAGACTCAAGGTAGCAAGACTTGAGGCAGCTAGACTTAAAGGAGACTGGAGCAGACTCTGCTGGGGAGATCTGGGTGATGTTACAGGAGAGACTGTGGCATTGCTGTGGAGAACCTTTGGCAAGGTAAGTAGAGAAACCCTGAGATAAAAGCCACAGTTAAGAGGTTTTTGCTCTTCTTGCCAGATACTTGAATAAGCTGACTTATAATTGCTCTGAGGCAATTTTATTGGTTGACTTGGATGTGAATGGTGAAGCCAGAGCCTGAACTGAAGAACTAACTGTACCTTGGAACTTGGGCTAAAACCTGAACTTGTAATTTGCCTCCCCTACTCTCCAACTTCCTTCCTTAATAAGCACCATTCTCAATACAACTGTGAGTCTGAATCAGCAAGAAATAAAAGAACCTCTTGTTGATGTGGCTCTAGAAGCACCATGGGGCTGGGCTATGGGCTTTTTACCTGCTTTCTGCTCTAGGGAAGCGAGGAGCTGTGCTATTCTTACTCCTTCTGGCCCCTTCAGATAGACACTCATGGTCCTGTTCCTCAATGTTCTGTTCTCTCCTCTTTAGACATATAGTCACGGCATCAATCTACCTTAATGAGGGTCCTCCTCTCTTTTCCCGATGCTTCATCTTTCCAAGGATGATGATGTCCTTTGTCAAATACTAGCCCTTCATAATAACATGCTCAATGAATGTGAGATCAATCTTTTCCATCCCTGCTTCCAAGGAACCCCATGGCTGCCCTTTCTCCAAGACATATTTTTTCCTTCTTCTGTCAAGCTATTAGATATTTACCTCTTGTCCAGCACAAGAAGACTGACAGAATGAGAGCAGAAGGTTAAAGTCGTTCCCATTCTTACTCTAAAATCCACCCCAAGCAGCAAGGCAGGAATCACTACTTTGTCACACACTTGGCCAGAATCTGAGGTAGATGAAGGAGACACTTACATTGACCAGAGAAGGCTGGGGAGGAGGGATGGCAGGGGTTCTGGTAGGGCACCTGAAGAGAGGACCCAGAAGGAGGACTGCAGGCAGGAATTCCGGCACCCTTCTGTGACAGGATCTGTGCTGGGCAACAAGTCAAACAGACGCCCCCCCCCTTAACAGTCTACTCGGTGGTCATGGGGACGTCTTGATCCAGAGCTCGAATGTCCCTATTTAAAAACAAGGATGGCATCTGCTTTCCTTACAAGGTTTGAGAAGTGGTAACGAAATGGACTCGATGTCAATGAATGGTTAGCGCTGTGCGCGATGCATGCACTCAATCCCTGCCCGTCTAACTTGGCTTTCCTGGTTCACTCTAACACGGTTTGGATCCTGACCCGAGGGCTACGCGCTCTAGCCTCACCTGCTGGCGGGGCATAAGCCCGAGCATGGAGTTGGGAATTAGGCCCCAACACCACAGGACCAGGCAAAGCGCCTTTCAGAAGGCAGCGCCCCCAGTTCTGCAGCTGGAAGCAGCTCCACAGCATCACGCCTGAGGCCCTTGAGGAAAGTGCAGAGAGAAGCTTGAAAGCTGCAAACAGTGAGAGTAAGGATTTCCACGCAGGCACTTGGGCTGTTCAGAAGCCTCTTACCAACTTCCACAGTCCTCCGCTACACTGGGCGCCACCATCTTCTACGTAATACCACTAGCACGCTATTTCGTCTGCGCCGTATGAACGTAGGACAATCAGCATCACAAACGCATGCGCCCCGCCCCTCCAAAGCGTACTTCAAGACAAAGACTACACATCCCAGAGTGCGCGTCGCGCACTTCTGTCACGTGCTATCGTGCTCACCAATGGGTGAGCCGCCGCTTGAACCTCGGGATACCTTAGCCAATAGAAAGGGGCGGCGTGCATGCGTGCGTGCGTGTGTCGTGCGTGCATGTATCTAAGTATCAGTGTATATAAACACACACACACACACACACACACACACACACACACACACACACACTATACATACATACATACATACATACATACATACATACATACATACATACATACATACATACGTATATACATACACATATACATACATATATGTTTATGTGTGTGTACGCGCGCTTGCGCGTGTGGCCGAGTAGAATGGTTCTGCGCAGATTTAGGAGGTCCTATTCGCAGGTCCGGGGGTCCTGGTGACGGCCAGAGCTCTGGTTTGCAGGCGGCGGGCGGGTGGTCACCCCTGCGGCCACCCGCGCGCGTGCGCGCCCGGCCCCTTTCCCCTCCCCCTCTTCGGCTCCCGCGCGGCGGCGGCGGCGGCGGCGGCGGCGGCGGTTCCTTTCCCCTCCCCCAGCCCTGGCTCCCGGGGACCCCCACGATGCCGGTCCGCACTGAGTGTGGCCCACCGGCCGGTGCTTCTGCTGCTTCTGCGGCCTCACTCATTCCACCGCCTCCTATCAACACACAGCAGCCTGGCGTGGCCACCAGCCTACTCTACAGTGGCTCCAAGTTCCGCGGCCACCAGAAGAGCAAGGGGAACTCATACGACGTGGAGGTGGTGCTGCAGGTAAGCACCAGCCGCGGCCTGGGGGGCTTCCGCGTGTCACTCATTACCCGAGCCGCCTGGGGTTCACGAGCCTGGAGCCTCGATAAAAAAACCTCACCACCAGAACCTCCCGTGCCGGAGACAACTGCCGGGACCTGCCCAGCCAGTGTCTCAAACTCTTCGAGCTACACGCCTAGCCTGGCCCTTCACACCAGGACCCATTCCCCTAGACTTGGAGTCCCTATTCAGGCCCCGCCCCTCGTGTCTGCCTTCCAAAGAGCCGGAAGCCCCCCACCACTTTGGCTTGGATTCTTTCTCCAGACTTTCAATGTTTTCTTTAGATAAGTCTCTCAGGCCCTGAAAAACTCCTTACCAATTAATTGTATTTGGAACAGCTTCTTCTTGATCGGATCTATGACAAACTCTCCCAGATCTCTGATTTTCTTCTTAGGTGAGCTTGACAAGCCCCTCATCCTCCTAGTTGCCTCTAAGCCTGAGTCCCTTCCCACAACTGATGGCCCAGCTCATGACTAAGTGCTGCTCATGGGGCTCCTTGTAGTGAGTGGCTTCTCTCCATATTCCCTAGTCACCTGGTTTTCTGATCTCTTCTGCGAGCACCCAGCTTTTTCCAGCTGTCTCTGCCCCAGGCCTCTCAATGCTTTCAAACCCCTGCCTTTGACTGCTGCCGGTGTGATCTTTGGCCTTAGAGTTGAACCTCATTCCGATGTATCTTTCTTATTCCTTCCTGCAGGGCTCACCTTAACTTTTTTTTTTAATTGTGATTTTAACAAAAGTTTACGGAAAGGCTGGGTTTTCATTCATTCATTGTTGTACGTTTTCCTTCCCCCACCTCTAGAACATTTTGCAGTACACCTCCTGTTCCAGATTGTTGTTGTGCTATAGTTTTATATAAAAAGGCATAGGGCTTCCTCCTACAGTCTCTGATACTCATCCAGTTCTGTTTCACATGGATGTTTCCTTTCCATGTCGATACCCCGGTTTTGGCCTGGGTTTCTGATTATTTGCTGCCCATTCAGATTTGGAACAATCCTGGCACCTTACCTAGTCTGTCCCTGTACCTCACCTCTTATGAATAAATGGTAGCACACTTTTCTCCCAGCCAAGAAAGAATAGTAGAGGTAGTGAATATAAGCCTTTTGATCATTCCTCCTTATAAGACTGTTTTTCCTCTATGTCTTCCTCTGCCTCTGTAACCACATTTTTTCTTTCTTTTTTTTTTTCCTCCATTGCCTTCGTCTGTTATTCCTATCTCCTTGGCTATTCCTAAGAGCCCCTCCAAGTATCTTTCCTCTTGACAGCCTTTATGGAAAGCCGTGAATTTTTATTTTAACATGGTACCCCTTTCTTGTACATAGGGTTGCCATGAGTCACAAGCAACTCGATGGGCACCTAACAACCACAACCCCTTTCTTGCTTCCATCGGTGAGGATAAAAGGCAAATTTCTTCTCCTTATACTCAACCTTTAATCTTCATAGATTTACTTTCGTTTTCAATAGAGAAAACAGCATTGTATAAATTCTATTTTTAGTTTATAAACTTAAAACTCTTTGACTCTTGATATTTACTGTAACTGAAAAACTTGACATAGTTTAGGCTCCAAATCCTTTTACTTAAAATGTGACTTTAATATGAAAGGGTTTTCTGGAGGAGAAAAAACCAAAATTGTGGAGGTGAGATCCCTGCTATGGATCATGTTTGGAATGACCTTGAATTTGTGTTTTGTAAAGATGATTTCTGACATTTTAGGGGACAGCTGATAGTATATTTTATTGCAGTGACGGCTCTTTTGTCATTAATGGACTCATTTCTGAACTCCTGTCAGGTGCCAAGTTTCTTACATTGTAAATTGTGACATTTGTTTGGGAGAAACTTGTGTTCTGCCAGCAGATCTCAGGGAAGCAGGAACAGACACCTGGCCAAAGGCAGGATGCCATTTGTGTAGGATGCTTAGTGGAGTCAAGAAACGCTGTCCAGCATCTGGGTTAGCGAGTTTTTTGGTTTTGGGGTTTTTGTTTGTTTGTTTTATCATGGAGACTAGTATGGGGGCATTTATGTAAATTGCCTTATCATCTGTTTTTCAGCCAGGACTAGTTTTCCTGACTTGGTCTTCACAGAATACTTTCATAATTCAACCATTTTTCCCTTTCCTCTCTTCCCTTTCACAGTTTTATCAAGATACATGCCAGACATATTTTGTCAAATATACACTTCAGTAGGTTTTAGTATGTTCACAGCTTTTAACCATCACCATAGTCTAAATTTGGAACATCTTCATTTACTCATGTGCCCCGACAGAAAACCTCTGGCCTAATCTGTCAGGTCCTATCCTCTCAGCCCTTTGTTATGTATCATTGAGGTGGAACTGAGCACAGCTAATTTTCCATAAGGTTTTCAGAGAAAGTAAATCACACGGGAGGAGATTGCTCATCTTTCTCCCTCGGCATAACTGCTGGAGTTGAGTCAAGTGCCTTAGGGTTGGTGGTACAGTTCCTTAGTACTGAGCCACCTCTCAGCCCCAAGGCAATCACTAATCATTTTGTCTCTAGGGATTTACCAGTTTGGAGCATTTCTTTTAAAATAAAATCCTACAATGTAGTGTCATTGTGACTGCTTTCTTCCACTAGAGCCCTGATGATGCAGAGGATTAAGCATTGAGTGCTGTGCCAGCCTCTCTGAAGGGAGAAAGATGAGACATTTGACTAGGGCCAGTTCACTTCTGTCCATGAACTAACACCACTGCAATAGATTTAGTTTGAGATTTTGGTTCTTTTACTCAGCACAGTGTTTTCAAGGTTCATCCATGTAATTTCTCTTTGTGACTGGGTAATATTCCATTGGGAAACTCTAGGGCCTAGTGGGTAAGGAATTGTGCTGCCAACTCAGAGGCCTATAGTTCAAATCCACCAGCTGTTTCCCAAGAGAAGAGAGAAAGTCTCTCCTGATGAAATTTACAGCCTTTGAAAACTGCTGAAGGGTCAACACATAACAATAATATTACATTGTATTATATAACACATATTGTTTATCAAAGTGTCTGTGTGATCACATTCATATACAAATTGTTTTATCATTTTTTTATTAATTTTGATGAAAATTTACAGAGACTTTGGATTTCCATTCATTCATTGTTGCACTTTTCTCCCTACCCACCCCACACCCCATATACAAATTTTTGTGTAAATATTTTGTACTCTCTTTAGTATTTAGGTGTATAGCTGCTGAGTCTTACGGTAACCCTGTGTTTAACTTTTAAGGTACTGCCAAACTATTTCTAAAATGACTGCATCATTTTATATCCCTACCAGGAATGGGTGAGGGTTCCAATTTTTCCACGTCTTCCCAACGCTACTTACTTGTTTTATTTTAGTCATCTAATGGGTGTGTACCACCCATTAATTAAAAGATGTATTGCGATGGGAAAATCCGCTGTTAGGGACCTCTCTAAAATACTGAAGAGCAACGGTGTGTCTCTGGAGACTAAGGTACATCTGGTACAGGACATGGTCTTTGCAATCACTTATTATTTGTCAGAGAGCTGGACAATGACCAGGGAGGATAAGAGAATTGATGCTTTTGAGCTTTGGTGTTGGAGAAGAATGCTTAGGGTACCATAGACGGCTAAGGAAACAAACAGATTCATCCTGGAGAGGGCTAAACCGGGCTGCTCCTTGGAGGCAAGGATTCTGAAACGTCGTCTGACATACTTTGGCCATGTTGTAAAGAGGGACCGGTCCTTGGAGAAAGACATCATGCTTGGGAAGGTGGAGGGCAGGTGCAGGTGGGGAAGGCCCTCTGGGAGGTGGATTGATTTGGTGACTGGGACAGTCGAGATGAGTGTATCAGAGGCAATGAGATTGGCACAGGACAGAGCAGAGTTTAGAGCTGCTGTACATAGGGTCACTGTGAGTCGCAAGCGACTCGACAGCACATAACAACAAAAACAATGGGTGTGTACGTAGCCCTGGTGGCATAATT